TTGCTAGTGGACTATTCCGCTGAAAGTTTTCATTTTATCAATCTTGAGCATCAGTTTACTTTTTTCTTTCAGCGCTTGCAAAATTGGCTGCTTTGCTCCGCAAGAAAAATGGCGATCTTAATGTCATGTAATAAATCCTTAATAATGACCAGCCTTGCTTGGATCATTATCAATTGCTGGGCAAAGTCCCTTATATAAAAACTTCAAATTATCATTTACTTATAAAGGTCCACAGAGTTGAAATGAATATGTCCCGTGTAGCTCGATTCATTCGCAAATTTAAATTTCTCACGGTTGCACAGGTTTCTGAAAGTTAAGGTATCATGGTAGGTGGATTGACAGTGTTTGGAAATCGCGATCTTAACGCTGGCGCTTTGAAAGAAAACCCCATCAACCTATACATTTTCTGAAACCTTAATAGTTATAGAATACAATCATATCTTTGAAATTTTCTAAAAAGTTATTGTCGCAGTGATATTAAAAGAGATACCCAGAAACACTGCTTCGCTTAAACTGGTTCGCTTCCGCGCGTGAATTATCGGAGTGGCGCGATTTACATCGGAAATGTTTTCTCAGACATCAGTCTCAAAAATCGTGTCTGCGATTTTCCAGATGTGGTTTGGTTTTTTTTCTACAGCCTCCTAAACTTTGATATTTTTAATGCGGACGTTTCCTTCTACAAAAGAGGCCATAACTTTGAAACAGAATCGAAATTAAACAAAGCCCGACACGGTTTTTCGAAGGAGGTATCCTAGAACGTACCTGCCGATTTTAAGCCAATTCCATCGGAAGACGCGCGTAAACGAACTGAAAATGTTCATCCTTATATGCAGTTTTATTTTATCGAGAAAAACACGAAAAACCTTTTTATGAGATTTGTATGAATAGGTGTTAAAAATCCCCTCCGCACTGACAGATGTCGGCATGGGTCAGTTTACCACAACAATGGGTTATAACAACTTGAAATAAAAAAAAAATTCTACTGACTGGAATGTTTCGATAACAAAAGACCTACAGAAATACTTCAACCTGCAAAAACGGCTTTCAAAAGGAAGTGTTCGTTTATCAAGGGGGACTGGTGAATACAACACGTGTTCATAAATGATGTCAGCCTCTTTAAGACTTCCTCTGTAGATCACAACA